CAAAGAACAAAGATACACAATGGGCTAGCTGTGTTCTGCCCACAAAGAACAAAGATACACAATGGGCCAGCTGTGCTATGCCAACCAAAAGTGTCAAGACCAAGTTAGTTTTTAGCGACATAACCCTGCGGACATACCACTGAATCATTGGGGGGGGGGGGGTGGTAAAGTAGTTGCGGAATTTAATAGGGATTTTAACTATTTCCAAAGTGCACAGTCCAAGGTTTAGACCCCACGGTGGCTGAGCCGTAAGTACGATAGCTTATAAGGCTAAAATTCGAGTTTACATATCCGTGGTGGACCCAGCACATATAATCCATGATTTGTCGCTCAACAACAACCAAACTAACAAATCAGTCTGTGGAAAAACCCTTAATCGCAAACTTCAGGCCGCCGTTCTATTTAAAGTAACTTAGACCTACAAGTTCTTAAGAAATTCTAGGTATTCTTATAACCTAATATCCATTCCTTTTTTTAATTTTTTGGTTCCTAGTGTAGGGCAAATATACTGGAAATTTAATCTTCAATTACATTTTTTTATAAAATTATAGAAACTTTAAATTAACTAGTTGTACTTTTTGCGTTTTTCTCATCGTCTTAAAACGTGTAACAATATCAAATTTGATAATTCAAAGATAGAACCAAACAAAAAACGTTTACTTGGAAGAATAAGTTGTCTTGTTGCCTTAACTTTAACCTTGCAAGTAGGTTTAAGAGTTTTTAACAAATCATTAAGTACACAAGTTTATTTCTATTTACTTTCATCAACAAGTAAAGCCACGATCGCGGGCATAGCTAGTTTATGAAACTAACAAACTAAGTTTGAGTTATTCTCTATACTTTAAGCTGTTGGTTAGTTATAAGAGTTGTATGACTTAGAGCAAAGCCACATTGAACTGTCTACTGTGTCCACTGTAAGTAATCGAACCCCCGGAATTTAGCGTTGTAAGTCAATAAACTTACCGCCGGTGGACCGTTATAAGAGTAACAATCAATTCCGTAGTATCGATGGTGCTGGGTAGGGTGCTGATGACTTGTTGCTCTCCATCTGGTGGTTAAACCCCGGATTTTAGCGTTATAAGTCAGTAAACTTACCACCGATCTACCGATGGACTGTTATAAGAGTGAGAGTCAATCCCGTAGTATCTATGGTGGATGGTAGGGTGCTGATGATTTGCTGCTCTCCATTTGGTAGTTAGTTAAAAATTAGGGACGCCGGAAGATAGTCTTAGTAACTTTGTAGTAAATATAAAATACAAAACTGAATTCGTTCCAATTTGACACTGTGAATTATTACAGATTAAGTCTTAAATATGATCCATACAGTCGATAGCTTTTAAAATGTCAAATTATATTTCGCAGATATGAATTACTGGATTACTTAAATAAAACAATCCAGTAATCCATATCTACAAAATACTTCTTTACGAAGCACATGCTAACGTGAGCCATCCAATTATGTGCATACACGCACGAAATTATTTTGTCATTTTAATGTGCTGTTCAATTATTTTAACTAAGTTGTTTACTGATTATAAAGCAAATAAAATGTAACCCCTTCCACCTTTCTTACTGGTTTTGTGTAATAAATTCGCATGCATAAATAATTATTGTTGAAAAAGTAAACAAAACAGATAGATAACTATCAAGTGAGCTATGGTTGAAACTGTTTATTAACATATTACATGTAGCATAAATCATGTTCGTTGTTGTAATTATACTTAGAATGCTACACCTATCGATCACTCCTGCCATCTGTTGGTAGAAACCGTAATTTATTGAGACTTACGAAATACGACCTATTCTGTATAACTTTATCTACGCTGCACACGTCTCTCTAGACACAAAACGACTCAACGTGCGCGTGTTTCTTTCTTCCTTGAGTTTTACATTACAGTTGGAATTATATCTGCATGAAGAAACTCATCTTTTGTATTTTGTTTAATAATTCCTATCTTAAAAACCGGTAAATGGGGTTCTAAATAAGTAAAATACATTGAGCTTTCTTTCTTAAATAATAGATTTTACATATCCATATTCTACAGTAAAACTAACTTCATTTTTCTTTAATTCTGAGACAACTGTAAAGGAGAATATGCCTTGCATCAATGAAACAATGATTAAAGTTAAGCAACAATGATTGAGGCTCAAACAATACCTACTAATAAAGAATGCGGAGAACCAGTGTTTTAAAAGTATCATTTTTTTTCTTCTAAAAATTCTACCATCTCTTTTTACTCTCGATTGAAATAGTTTATTTTGAAATGAAATAGTGGAAGAGAAACGAAACAGATGTAGTTAGTGCAGGAAAACGTTTATTAGTTTCGTTAGTATTACAATAATGTAAACAAATCAATCAAAACAGACTTTATTTATGTTAAAAAAAGAACCAAGGTGTCAGCTTATTAACTACAGATTATCTTAATACACTTTAAATAGTTATACAAATGTAGATGAAATACAAATATATAATGGTTAACCATTCTACAGGGGTTTAAGAAGACATTATTACAAACATCTTTTTTCAAGCACTAAACAATGAAAAACTCCTTTCTACAGTGCCGTTTACTTAAGTTAGCAATATAAATCTGTATTATATTATTTAATAAAAGGACAAATTAAAATGATGGAATAAAACCATTTTTTTTTTCAAAATAAAAATGAAGCAATAGAAAATGTACATATAGTGCTCAAGCATTTGTAGTGTGGTAGGTCAAAGAGATGACCATATTGCAAACTTTATAAGGACATCTTAATTTGAACGATAGATATTGTCTACAGAATTGATCCCTAGAATGGTGTATCCACTAGCATCACACTGCTTCAATCGTCCACTCATTTTGGACCATTGACCATAGCAAGGCTTAGGGCAACGGTAAATCTCATGTTTAGTGTTTACCCCGATAACTTCCCAACTGCCGGACCCGGTGACGTGCTTTAGGCTTCCCGGAATCCTTTCCCAGGAACCGCTTCCGTCTACTGGGCGACGATAGATTGCGTTGGCGCTGTTGACCCCATAGACCAGATCTCTACCACCATCTACCTGCTTCAAACGTCCACTCACTTGGCTCCACTGTCCATTACAAGGCTTAGGACATTTGTAGATTTCGTCATTCGAGTTAACACCCCAGATGTAGCCGTAACCTGAAGCGCTGACATGTTTCAGCTTACCTCTGACACGAACCCAAGTTCCGCTCCCATCTACCGGTCGCTTGTAGATATCATCGTGTCGATTCACTCCCCAAACCTCATGGTCATCAGCGTCGACCTGCTTCAACGATCCGGGTACCAGAGTCCACTTGCTGTGGGAGCAAGGTTGTTCACAGAAGTAGATTTGATGGTTACGGTTGACTCCCCACATGAATCTGGGTGAGGCTGAGATGTGTATAAGTTTACCAGAAATTTGACTCCATTGTGCCGCACTCAGAGATGCAGCTAACAAACTCAGCAGCACGAGGATAATTCTTTGTGTCATTCTGGTGTTAGTCAGTTCAACTGTGTTGTCTCGAAAGAATCTGGTCTCTTTATATTACCCAAAACGACCTTTACTCAATACCCACGTGGTGTTTGACGTAACAGAAGGATTGCGTTTTAGTTATTATTTTTATTTCATTTAAGCTAGACAATTTCAATCTAAATATTTCAGCACGTAAAGGTCAACATTAACTGTCCCTTTAATGGCTGCATAGTAAATATATCACAAACATCCGCTATTAATTTTGTTGCCTTTTCAAAATGAAGATGGCTTATGTTTAATTTGGGCCTTAGACATATACGATACTTATAGATATGTGTTAATTTCTATTTAAATGTTCTGAAAGGCTAGTAAATATATTTTTAAGAGTTAGAATTTACTTAGAAATAATACAAATTGTATAGGCTGTAACGGTTGATTTATCATTTGAATAACTTTAAACTGAAAAGGAAGTACGTCAGAACAGGAAAACCAATGAAACAGTTTTTCTATATGGCATTGGTTGGTTAACTGTAATCATTGTATCTGTGGTTGATTAACTTTAATCATTCTTACTCTGATCTAATGTAGTCATTGACTGTAAATATTGTTTCATTGGTTAATTTACTGTAATCATTGACTGTTATAATTGTTCCACTGGTTGATTAACTGTAATTTTTTCCGTTGGTTGATTAACTGTAATCATTGTTCCACTGGGTGATTAACTGTAATAACTGTTCCACTGGATGATTAACTGTAATAACTGTTCCACTGGTTGGTTAACTGTAACCATTGTTTCGTTGATTGATTAACTGTAATCATTGTTTCGTTGATTGATTAACTGTAATCATTGTTTCGTTGGTTGATTAACTGTAATCATTGTTCCACTGGGTGATTAACTGTAATAACTGTTCCACTGGTTGATTAACTGTAATCATTGTTTCGTTGATTGATTAACTGTAACCGTTGTTTCGTTGGTTGATTAACTGTAATCATTGTTTCGTTGATTGATTAACTGTAATCATTGTTTCGTTGGTTGATTAACTGTAATCATTGTTCCACTGGTTGATTAACTGTAACCATTGTTTCGTTGGTTGATTAACTGTAATCATTGTTTCACTGGTTGATTAACTGTAATCATTGTTTCGTTGATTGATTAACTGTAATCATTGTTTCGTTGGTTGATTAACTGTAATCATTTTTTCGTTGATTGATTAACTATAATCATTGTTTCGTTGGTTGATTAACTGTAATCATTGTTCCACTGGTTGATTAACTGTAACCATTGTTTCGTTGGTTGATTAACTGTAATAACTGTTCCAC